CTGTATGCAGCATAGAAATGGGCTATCATTTATCTCCATTGCCTAGACTCAAGGAAACCTTTCAGACTTGTCTCAGTCATTTAAAGCACTAGTTCTTTACTTCTTTTAAACAATTCCTAAGGGAGGAGCTATTTAAGAAGGCTCTGCACAGACTTAAACTATAGTATGTTAACTATAATTTAAAATCTGACACACAATAAAATGTGAAAATTATACTGTCAACTCTGCAAAATAAGCTATGTAAAAATAATCCTGCTATTGTTAATGAACTTGACACTTGAGAAAAGACCAAGTATAGACCAAAACTTCCTTTTGGCTATTGTAAAAACAAATTATCGCAGGAATGTATAGGGATCTGATTAAAATGAAATTTTAAAGTAATGTGTCAAAATTACTGGGATTAAACCCATAGTAAATTTACAGTCAATCTGAATCTGAACTATGTAACTTTAAAACAAATATTTACCTTAAATAATTTAAAACACTCCTGGGATTATAGAACAGATAACTAATCATTGTCAACACACCTTACAAAGAACAAGAACCTGGGTGATATATTAAATTAGAATTAACACCTGTCTACACTAACTTTAGGGAATTCAACAACTTTAAAGTAGGAAAACAAACAGAAACACAAATTCAGGGGATATGTTGTCTAATTCTGGAACTGCATTACCAAGGGTTTACGATCCATAATGTTAGATAGCTGTTAGGACTACAAATGCAAAGGAAATAGAAAAGATACTTAAAATAGCAATTCAGTGATTTATCTGGTTTACTGTCTTCTAAAAAACCGTATGTGGACCAAAGGCTAAAGTATCTATAAAATAAGGACCTTTGGGTGTGGATCTTGTAGATTAGAAAGATAATCTTGAAATGAAAACATAAGCTACACTGTGACAAGAGCCCAAGATAATAGTGTACAATAAGTGTCACTGACAGTTTAAAAATGGCAAACAAAAGGTTGAACTGTTCTTTTTCCAAAATATTAAGTTCCTAACACCAATCTGCGTTGACCAGGAAACCTGCCGTTTCACAATTGTGCTACTTGACTTTGTTCAGAGGAGCAGACATACTATAAACCCTCAAACCATCATACATACACATCAAAGCAGATTTGTATAATCCATCATCATCACCACCACAACTAGCTACAGACGGACAGTTTTCTCTTCGCTGACAGTGGACACGACACCTCCTTAGTGAAGCTGAATCTCATTTTCTTGGTCAACAACTGCCATCCAGAGTTCATCTTAGTACTTCTTCCTACTGCCAATAAAAATACCTCCTATTTCCAATCATTCTCTTTTATCTCTCACACCCTCATGCACAAACAGCTTTACCCTTTCTGCTCTCCAATTTATACACCAGTGAGTCTCAGTTCTCAGTAACTTAAACACATGCTTCTTACATTCTTCATTTCACAGATTTCCTAACAAGCACTCATTTAGATGCTCATCAAATTGCCAAGTTAAGACTACAGGGAAAACAACAGTCAGAAAAGAAAAAAGGTCAAGCTACCTCAGAATACAGAACTCTTTCAGGATTATCAGTTAGCTATGTTCAAAGGAAAGAGTCATCATTTCTTTCTAAAGGAGGGATGCTCAGGTACCATGAGTGGGATCATGAAGAGAGGAGAATGAAGGAGTCAAAGTATCAGATGTTTTTGCAAGGAGGTCAAGAGCTACCAACAACTAATTACACTGTCAACTGTCAGTCCATTTCAGCAGAGTTTGACATAATGTCAATGAGTGTAAATCATTACCTGATTGTTATTATTGTTTGAGCTAGTCAAAAGTGAGTAGATTTCACCTGTCTTGTAACTTTTAACTGCTATTTAAATCCTCCTAAAAGCCTTTTGCATTAAGACATCTTAGACCAAAATATATACCAGCAAGAATACTGCCACAACTGCAAAACACAAGAGTATGACCTTTAACCTTATAGGCCTTCTGAATTACTAAAGTGGAACCTAAACCAAGAAAATTAAAACTCATTAGTTTAATTTTCCCCCCTTGAAATGCTAAAAAAATTTAATATGCAAATTAAGAATAAAAAGTATGTATTCATGGAAGCACAACAATATTATGATTCCAAGAACAATAAAATGTTTCTGGTCTGTAAAAAGTAGTTTTATTTTATACAAAAGATCACCACCACATTTCTACACCTATCAACAAGCCAATTTTCCACAAAAGCTAGACAACAGAAGGGAGGGAGGGAAAGATGGAAGGAGAGACAAGATCCCTAATGTAATGGAAGGAAAGATACATAAAACCTAACATGAATGCAGAATAACTATAAAAGTCTTACAAGAAAAATATCATCAGGAGGCTATTTTCCACATTCAACTTTTCTGAAGATATAAGTTGCCCAGGCCCTTTAATATCAAAATCTGGTAGTCATTTTGTAAATGGAAGATGACAAACTACTTAGAACCAGCCACATTTCTTATATTTCATCTGGTTGCTCTTGAATCTTGAAATTCTACTAATGCTATTTTAGATCACCATTACATAGCCCATAATAATGAAATTTCTGCTCAAAAAGAGCTAGTCTTAGCTAGGATGGCATAGGCCTTAAATTTAGGTTTGGTTTTAGGATCAAATAGCTTCATAAATCTTTAAGTCAGCTTTTCTTAAAAAATGCACTGCTAATTCTGCAGAGCTATGGTAATTAATGCTGTTGGATAAACAGTCATCTTAAATAGTGATCACTTTACTTTTATAGAATATGTTACTATGAATGGCCTAAATTGGCTTACAATGAAGAAAACAAGGTTTTAAAATCTGATAAAGTTTAAAACAAACTTACAAAACTGGCAAATTCACTTAAGCAATTAAAAAGATCTCTCCCTTAGTCTATTCTCATGACAAAATATGAGTTCCCTCTAAATTACTGATATTCAAATTTAGAGATAACAACCATGAATGCTATATTCAGTTATCACCCACTGTTTCGAATCTAAAGTGCTCAAGATACTCTTGTCTTAGCTTTCTTTCACACAGTAAACAAAATCTCATCCTAATATCCAAGAAACAACAAAAAATGGGGGGGGGTAATTTTCTATCTGTTTTATGGGGAAGAAAATATTAAAAGTACACGTATGTATTAAAATTAACTGGAGTTATGAAAGCTACCCGAGTAATTTCAGAAGTCCCATTCTAAAATCATCTAGAAATATAAGTCTATAATATGAAAAAACCCTAGTGGAAATATTGGAGAAGAGAAGGTAAGTCATGTAAAGATAAAAATAATCCCATGCCCATGGTGGGGTCACCATGGCTGGCTGGTTAACACAAAATTTCATGGGAGAAAAATGTGTTTAAAAAGTTTCAACACTGCCAAAACACAAAACTTTAAAGTACAGAAACAAAACTGAGATAACCTCTCCAAACATTAAGTTCTACTTAAAAAAAAAATCAGGAAAAAGATGACATTACTTCTTTTCCAACACACTAAATCTGATACTATGATATGCTTTGAGCCACCAAATCCACCCAGATTATTCTCGACAGATTTATCTTCCCCACCCCCTTCTACCCAAGTTTAGCTCCATTTTCCTGTAGAAAAAAGGTACAAATTCCTACAATGACAAGAACAAGAAATAAAAACAGTAAGTACAACTGATAGAGATCCATTGATTTTTATTACAAATGTACTTGATCACTTGGCTTAAAAAAGTTTAAAATCAATACCCTAATATCTGTATGCCAGTACAAAGCAAACTGTTTTACAAATTAAATACCTAAAAACTTGACAAAATATTAAAGTTTGATGAAAAACAATTATAAAAATTCTTAATCTCTCTCTTCAAAAAAAGGAGGCAGTCTTCCCAGACCTATCATACAATGTTAATAGTGTGCAGCACTAGGTAGTTAAATTATATTTATGTCAGCATTAAAAAAAACTCTTTAAGTAATAGATTTTATTTGTATATGCTTCAGTTAAGTTTGTGAATACCATCTGATTGCAATATAATCAACTCTCTTTAATTGAATTCTAATTTACACTTATTTAATAATTTGCATAGCTTGAAAGGGATAAAGGTTATTCTACGACTAATTAACATAGGCTATTATAGTGCTATTTCTCAAGGCAATAAGTATTTGCTCCCAAATGAAATTATCTGTCTCCTTTCGGCAGGGGTTAAAATCACTAGCAGCTTTCTCCGTTACCTGAAAAAAAAAAAAATCAAACTGGAACAGTTATCCATCTTTAGACGTAAAGGCCTAAAAACAAAAATTGACAGACTTTCCATTTTGAGTCAAATTTTAACCCCTGCATGGGACTAGAAAGTGAGACTTCAGAGTTTTTTAAATTTCCCATTGGTTTTGGTTTCTACTTTCCATGGCTTTTGAGAAGCTGGAAAACAGTTTGTCTTTCCTGACTACTTTGTCTTTTTTTTTTTTTTTTCTCATTTGGCAAATGTTCATCTACCTTCAATGTCTGTCTAGTAGAGAAAAAGCCAACATGGCTTTCTTATGAACCTCCTTTGTTCTCAAAGGCATGTATGACGATTTCTACAGTTCTGGTTAGTTAACTTTAGCTCCCTCTGTGGCTGGATGACTGCTGCTTCTAACATCTGAATGATAAATAGGAGGCACAAATAAAAGGTAGCTTTAAAATAAGATTTGGTGATTTAAGGGGGGGAAACTCACAAATACCATCACCACCACCACACACACACACACACACTCACACTCACACACACACATATTCTTCAAATCTGGTGGCTGATCTCTGGATCAAATTACTTGACAGTGTCTCTCATTTTAAAGAACATCAATAGCTCAATGCATTTCAAGTTTTCTTTTTTTACTTAGGCAAATAACATAGTTTAACCAAGCTCTTGGACCTTAATTGTAAGACAAAGCAGATCAATAAAAATAAGGCATACTTGTCATGAATTAAGTTCTGTTTGCTTGTTTTTGGCACATTTGATCATACTGTCTTCTATGAACAACACATATGGTCAAATATACCCTTTTTTTCAGCACAAACTGGGGCTACCCACTAGTAAAATTAAAAACAAGAAGAGACTCTAACATAATACACTGAAATATAGAACCTTGGTAAAGTACCGAGCACCTGGGAAAGAAATAAATGTAGGGGAAGATGAAACAGGAGAAAGGGAAGGGAGGTGAGGAGGTTGATGAGGAGAGAAAGTGAGATGCTTTGAACAAAAAGAGCATCTTTACAGTCACTCAGTCTTCTCTATATGACCACTTTTTAAGTCTTAAAAGATCTGCATGTGGATTTCTTTTTAAACCCACTGACCATAAATCAGACAATGGATTCAAAGTCCTAGTAAGATTGTGTTTAACTGTTATAGTGTAAAGACAACAGCACAGTACATGTGCTTCTTGATCCAGTAGGATTCCAAGCAGAATCTGAAGTCTATAGGTAAGAAAGGTTTCACTTTAGGCAGCTGACCCTAAAGAAAACCTTATGAAAGAACTTGCATCTCAAAGAAAGGACACTTTGCCTAAGTTTGCTGTGTTTTTGTTGACTTGCACTACTGACTGCTGGCTACTACGAAACACTGATCTAGGAGTACTCCAACAACTCGTAGCACAAGGCTTAACTTTAAGAAGCTATAGTAAACAAGAGACAAAATCAAAGCAATTCTCTTTCCTAATTAGAAACAGCACAGAGAATGCAATCTTTTCCATATCACAGTTAAAGTACAGTGAACAAAACAGCTCAACAAACCTTAAGACAAAAGTGCAGGTTATTAATGTTTACATGCAGTTGATAAGCATTCCAAATGTCACATTATGCACTGTAAAAGCTCAACTTTACTATATGAAAATAATAAAAAAATGCACCTTGGGGGAAGGGGAAAGCAATTTAATAATTTCCAGTGATTTTGTAAGTAAAGAAACTCCTAACTATTGTACGGTCACCTCATAGTTAACATTGTATGAATATGAAAAGCAAACAATGGGAAAATGCACAGTACAATGAAAATAGCTTGTTATTCAACACATACAGTAGATCTCAAAAACAAAGACAACATGACCAGAAAGCTTCAAAATATCAAATTAAAACCTAAAGAGCCAGCAGGAAAAAATAATCCTTCAAAAAAGACAACTGTTCTGCCTTCCTAGGCGGATGCTTTCCAACGGGAAAGGTACTGACCGTTCCCAGTCCTACCGGTGGTTTCTTCTACATACAGCAGGTAGATCTAGATGGCTGGATTTGCCAAGAAACAATTGCATGTTCAGAACTCTCTCTGTCAAGACAAGATCCAAGATCCTCTTTTTTTCTTTTTTCTTTTTTTACCAAAATACTTTCTACAGAATTCCAAACCAAAATGTACTGTATTTAAGGCATCTTTTTATAACATTTTTCTCTTCACTCAAAGATGATAGTCATGCAGCAGTTTAATGATAAAAAATATATTAATATTTTACTATACAGCAGCAAGAAGTTAGTTGTCAATTAAAAGCACACAAACATCTTCAAATGAAAACCTGTAAAAGACTATCGTTACAAACAATTTCAGTGGAGGACACCAGCTTGGTAAAGTGCTCTCCTAAGCTTGCATTTTCATACCCTAAACTTTGAATATGAGTGATAATAGAACATACTTTTGACAGAAGGCTTGTACACTTGGGGAACACAAATACACTTACATATAATGTAGCCAGTAATAACTAGCACCACAGCTACATGGAAATCCTTTACATACACCAACTTGGCTTTCACTTTTAAAGGAAACTCAGAATCCATGGCTCAGTAGGATAACTATAATGGTGTTGCTTTGCTTTTAAACAGGTCTACATAAGTTAATAGCACTGGCAAAAAAAATCAAAGGATAGCTTCAGACCTCTTACAAGTTTAGGAGACAGTGCTAGTGACCACAAATAGACTCACTACCTGATATCCAAGTACAGGTTCACTGGAAATTGCTGCACGTTAGTTAGGTTTTTAAAATCTTTCTACACATAATAAAAAATATATATTATGAACAATACAAGTACATCTCATATACACAATAATAACAAAACACCTACTCAGTCAAAGCAAACAGATGCAGAAAAATATTATGGGAAATTTCCTTTTTCTTTCTCTTTTTTCTTTTACTATTTGAATAACTTTGGTTCCAACCATAAAAATCACAACTTAGCAAATTTCATTTAAATGCCTTTTTTAATAATTTCTTCATGTTCACAGAAGTTTCACTGACCATTTTTATGTTTAAGGTCCAGATGCAATGCATATTGTATAAAAGAGAGCACTTATTGTTTACCTTGCATGAATTAAACCTACGTACCTTGAACTCTACAAACTTCTGCATAACATTTAGACAAAGCTCAGACACACAGCATGCCTAGCCCTCATATATATACACATCTCTAATCACAGGTATATAGGATGTCAAATATACTATAATAACCTCCATGTAAGGTTTGAAATTTGGTAACAAAATGAGAAAAACTAAAAATATTATTTTACGTGTTCTAAAATATCTCTTTTTTGTGCTAAAGTCAAATGTTAGCTCAACATGAAAAGGACTTTTTATATAATTCAGCAATATTATAATCTTGACCATTTTGCAAACACTTTTAATAATAATAGCTTAAACGTGTACAAAAGTTCTTGGTTAATTAGGGAAATAAACACTCAGTTCTTTATATTTTTTAATCAAGTAGGAAACACAGTTCATATAATGTTATTACTTTTTGTATATTTTTTGTTTTTAGCAGCTGCTTACTGTTTTACATGGTGGATAAAGTGGACAACATCCAGCGATGGGTGGCAAGTCAAGAAGAGAAACTGTCAGTTGGTGGAGGTTCTGTGGGTGGTGCTCCCTTGGAGTTTAAGTTTTTTTTTTAACTTTTTAATTTTTATTTTCTCTCTTTACAGTATATTTTCTCTCTGTGTGTGGCTGTGTGTGTGTGTACACGTACGTGTATGCGTGTGTGTGTGTGTGTGTGTGTGTGTATGTGTTTCATTCAGTTTGATCAATCTTCTTCCCCTTCTTCCTCACCCTGCAGTAGCAGGGTGGCAGCGGTGGTCTCCTCCTGCTGCTGCTGCTGCTGCTGGTGGAGCTGCTCACAAGCGGCCCGCTTCTCCCTCTGCTTCTCTTGAATCTTCTTCATCTCCTCCGAGTACTTGCAGAAGGTGTGTCCGAACTTGGCCCACACCTTGTAGGGCACGGTGATGGAGTTGCGGTAGGTGGGCTTCACTTCACTTACTCGCATAAACACGCCGTACTTGTTGGAGCCCACATCGAAGAAGAAGCGCTTGTTGTCCACAGTCAAGGAGGTGCCCTCGGGCAGCTCGGCCGGCTCCTCCTCCACTCCATAGTCGTCGATGAGCTTGGCCAGAGCGTCACGGAACTCGATGAGCCCCTGTGCGGGCAGCGCAATGGTCTGGCCCTGCGTGGAGCCCAGGCCGGGCCCCCGGTTGACTGTCTGGCGGATGCGCAGGAAGCGGCCGCGCTGGTTCTCCTTGAGATCCATGTAGTACTTGCGGTTTTCGCGCACCAGGAACTCGCTCTTGAGCGCCCGGCGTGGCTCGTCCTGTGCCTGGGCCAGGTCGGGCGGCTGGCTGGGGCCCAGCTGCGCGTAGTGCTCGATGAAGTCGCCCAGGTAGTCGCGGAACTCCACTGCCACAGACATGGAGAGGGTGAGGCGGCTCTTGTTGCCGCCAGCGCCCACCTCAGCGATCTTCAGGAAACGGCCCTTAGCGTTCTGCTTCACGTCCAGGTAGAAACGCTTGTTCTGGATGTCCACCCGCTTGGAGGCCAGCTCCTGCGTCTCGTGCTGCAGCCCCCCC